CTAATATCCATTCTATTAATCCTTCTATTAATAGAGCAAATCTTCCACCCTTATCTGGCCAGGCATAGTTGTGACTCCAGACCCATGACAAAACAGTTGACTCTTAACTGCCCTGTGAAATGGCTCAGCAAGCCAATCAGTTGCGTCAAGCACTAAAAAGTCTTAAACAACGAATGAAACCAGACTGATGACCAGGCATCGAACTAGACATCAGAAGTGACAAGAGCAGACTCAGGCCTAGTAACCCTGCTAAGTCCTCCTTACCAACATCTGGGAGCTAGTGCCAAACTGGAAGAACTGAATCATATACTAGTCAAGCCACAGCTTGAAATACTCCTACTCTGGGAAACATACTTGACCTTATTGTCACTAATCAGCTTGCTGCAGATGTAATGTCCATGACAACATCTGTAGATGTGACCATTGCACAGTTCCTGTGGAATCAAAGTGCCAATTTCACATTGAGGATGCTGCCCATTTTTTGTCTGGCATTAGTACTGTGTTAAATGGGATAGATTTTGAACATGTCTAGTAACACAATATTAGACATTCAGGAAGTGTTGTGGGCCATCAGTAATAGCAGAATTGTACTTAAACTCAATTTGTAACCTCATAGCTCACTCCCCTCTACCATCACCATCATGTCAGGGGATCAACTCTGGTTCAATGAAGGGTGCAGTAAAATCACCAGGCACACCTAAAAATGAGTTTCCAACCTGGTGAAGCTACATGACTGAATGTTCTGCATGCCAAACAGCATAAACAGGAAATGATAGACTGGGCTAAGCAATTCCACAAACAACAGATCAGAACTAAGCTCTGGAGTCCTGCCACATCCAGTCGTGAATGGTGGTGGACAATTAAACAACTCACTGGAGTAGCTCCTGAAATATTCCCATCCTCAATGATGGGGATGCCTAGCACGTCAGTGCAACAGATAAGGGTGAATTATACACAACAATTTTCAGAAGAGCTTAGTGGATGATTCATTTCAGCCTCTCCAGAAGTTCCCAGTATTACAGATGTCACTCTTCAGCCAATTTCATTCACTAGTTACTACAAAAACTACAGAACCTAACAATATTCCTGCAATATTATTGAAGACTTGTGCTCCAGAACTTGATACCTCTAGCCAAGCTGGTGCAGTACAGTTGCAACACTGGGATCTACCTGACAATGTGGAAAGTTGACCAGGTATGTCCTGTACACAAAATGCAGGACAAATCCTAACTGAACAATTACCATTTCATCAGCAAATTGATTGAAGCTCTTGTCAACATTGCTATCAATCAACACTTGTTCAGTTATAACCTGACCACTGAAGCACAGTTTGTGTTCTACCAAGCTATTCAGCTTAAGAACTGATTATAGCCTTGGATCAAATATGGACAAAACAGTTGAATTACAGAGGTGATTTGAACATGACAGCCCTTGACAGCAAGGCCAAATTTGACCGGTGTGGCATCAAAGAGAACTATCAAAACTAGAGGCACTGTGAATCAGGGGAAACTTTCCACAGATTGTAGTCATTCCTAGTATAAAGGAAGATGATTGCAGTTGTTGAAGGTCAGTTCTCAGCTCTGAGACCTCACTGCAGGAGTTCCTCAAGTTAGTCTCCTAGTCCCAGCCATCTTCAGTTGCTTCATCAATGATGTTCCTTCCATTGTTAGGTCAGAAGTGGTGATGTTCACTAATGACTGCACAATGTTCAGTCCCATTTGCAATTCCTCAGATGCAGAAGCAGTCCATGTCCAAATACATCAAGACCTGGACAATATCTGGATCTTATCTGGATAACATTAACATCACCTTAAGCCTCAGTGTATGACCATCTCCAACAACTGAGATTCCAAACATTGTCCCTTGCCATTCAATGGGATTACTATCACTGAACGCCCACTAGCAACATCTTAGGGGTTACCTTTGACCAGAAGCTGAACTAGACTAACCGTATAAATACATTGAATACAAGAGCAGATCAGAGACTGGGAATTTTGTGAGTAACTCATTTTCTGACTCCCCAAAACCTGTATACCACTACAATGCTCAAGTCAGGATTGTGCCAGAATAATTCCCACTTTCCTAAATGAGTGTGAGTCCAACAATTCTCAAGAAGCTTGACACACCATTCAGGGCAAAGCAGCCGCTTAAATTGAGATCCCTTCCACAAACATTCACTGTCTCCACCACCAAAGTTCAGTAGTTGCAGTGTATACCATCTATAAGATGTACTGCAGAAATTCACCAAGACTCCTTAGACAGCAACTTCCAAGTGCATGACTATTACCATCTAAAAGGAGAAAGGCTGTAGATACAATGGGAGCACAATCAGCTGCAAGTTCCCCATCCAAGTTACTCACTATCCTGACTTGGAAATAAATTATTATTCCTTCAGTGTCACTGGGTCAAAATACTTGAATGTTCTCTCTCTAGTTGCATTGTGGGTATATCTACATCAAATAGACTGCAGTGGTTCAAGAAGGCAGCTCACCACCATCTTCTCACAGATGGTTAGAAATGGGCAATGAATGCTGGTCTGGCCAATGATACCCACCTCCAATGAATGAATGATGAAAAAAAACATCATTTGGAGGCCGTCCTCCTGCTTAGAAATCTGCCCCAGTTAATTTAAGGATCAACATGTTTTCTGTATTCAATAATCATGAGTGGAGCTGGAGGAATATAGCAGAGTCCTGATAAAGGATGTAAACCCAAAATGTTGACTTTCCTATTCCTCTGATGCTGCCTGGCCTGCTGTGTTCCTTCAGCTCCACACTGTATTGACTCTGACTCCAGTATCTGCAGTTCTTGCTACCTTCAATAATCATGATGTGGGTTGAGTTGTACCTGGATTTATCACATCAGCAAAGTTTCATGTATTTCAAAGATGGTATGGAAATGTGCAGGTTCACCAGAGAAATAGGTTGTAATAGCATTTAAAAGCCTTTTTATCTTGATCAGAGATTCTTACATATGTTACAGTGGCTACAGCAATTATTTATTTTATACTTTGAAGTCAAATTTCGGACTGTTCAATTGAACACTGCACGTTTCAAAATGGGACTCTGTAAAGCTCCAAGTTCTTGGAGTCAAAAATATGCTCTACCTTTTACTGAACTACATTTAAAACCTTTAATTGGCTCACTGACATTCACAATCACGTGGACCTATCTATGAAGCACCATTATGAGACATTAGTAATATTTGTACACCAATGTAAAATGGTTCCAAAATGCTGCAAGCTCAGTAAAAGATTAACTATGAGAGGAAATTGATGCAGGTGTTATTGTCATATGAACGGTCTCAATAAACAGATGAACGCTTCAGTTAAAATAGTGAACAACAGTAATACAATACAGCTGTGTCAGGTGTTCAGAAATTGATATCGCACACAGTGATTTCTGCAATAATGTGAATAAAAGCATGTTCTTTGCTTCACATTATTTTCCTATGATCCAGGTTTGGAAATATTTTAGTAAACATAAAGAAGTTCTGCTATTAGAATGCTGCAAAGGACACACAACTTGGAGGGCTGAAATCTTTGTTAGACTGCATCCATTTCATGTACTCTTTATTTAAGACACACATCTACATTTCTTTTAAGTACACAAAGAAGTAAATCAGATGAGCAAACCTCAGTGTCAGCTAATATCAGCTTTGTGGTTTTCTGTAGGAGATATTGGTTTGTATGGGTGAATGAATTAACAATTAGAAGTTCATATTGACCAGAAGTATTGATCTAACTATAACCAGCATATTTTTTTTTTATTCTCTGACCTATACAACTTCATTTTGGATAACTGAAAATAAAATACAATAAACTCAGTACAAGGCCTCGGGCTTGGCTGCCATCACAATATTACTGGTTCCATAGTGTATGAGGAGCCCACAGCACCTCACATCATTGCCATATTATGTGTTGTTGAAGGGTCTTTTTTGGGAAAAATATGTCCTCGGATCTTATTAAAGGTGTTGCATGTTCTTCATATAGTACATCTCACCACATGGTGGGCCAAAAATTGATAAAATCTTTCGCACCATCATCTGAATTTGTGATGATAGGAAAATGGCTTGGTGCTTAGATGGAAAGCACTCTCTTGTCATTAGCTTTCACTACACTTGAAGCCAAAGTGATGTTGTTGATTGGGAACACTTTTATCCACTTTACAAGTTCATCTCTGTGTCACAAATTCATTGAGCACAGGGTGGGTATGGGGGGGGGAGGTGGGCAGTGCTGGAGAAGAAGTTACTTCACTATTTTAGTGAACTTTGTGAAAATCAATATTTCTCAATACCAAAACAGCACATCATAAATGTCAGGGAATTGGCTGATTGCAAAGAATTATAAGTCATAATGCAGTGGATTCTCAGTTTTTATGCTTAACGCTGGTGGATTGCACCTCAAAAACTTAAAAATGACAATGTGAATAAGAAAATGAAATCCACATATGGTGAATGCTGGACAGGGTGTCATACTCCTTGAACGATGTTGGTCTACATTCTGTTGCTGCTAGCTATCATCTTACTTAGCCTAGGATTTGCTACAGTGAGTGCACCATAAATGAAGCAAAACAACATGACACAATGCCACATGGAAGGAAAAGAAATGAAGAAGTGATGTTCTCAGCAAAACACTTCCATCACAAACACATCTATTCAGTTTCTTTTTGTTGAAAAAATACCCATACAGATTACTTAATTAGTAACTTCAATTTTTGGAGCACATGAGGCAATGATTGACTCATGCCCTGATTAAATGTCAAGATTGCAGACCAGGCACAATGCCCTCCAGACAAGAAGGAAATTCTTTCTGCACTTTCCAAATCTGAAAGGACGCCTCTTCTTGCCTGGAAAGCTTCACAGTATATTGTACTTCACAAGGGATATCTTACAAGTCTTTATCTTGCAATAAAGCATTAATTATGCATTCAACAAAATCTGTTATGTGTATAATAACAACACAGTTTTCTTATAAAGATGTTTGACAGACTTGTGGCACAATTAGTTCAGCTGGGAAGAGCTTGAGTCCTGTTTCAGCTGCTCATCTAGGTTAACAGAAAGTGTTACCACATTATCATCATGACTTCCTTCTTCCTCCCCTTTCTTGAAGCTAGTCAGGTCAATTAACTTATCCTTCATGACCTGTCAAAACACAAAAACAGCCGTTAGGATATCTTTTTTCTGGAATTCCATACCGTGCTTACCGCAAATAACCCCCATTCTGATCCCAACTGCAATTTAACCAACTATGATTCAGTGTGTTGTTTGTCATTTTCTTCTCTGTGTTACTGTTTAAATGCACAATGCTGTTGATACCTTTGAAGAGGATTTGGCGTGCTCAACAGTGTGAGGGTGCTTAACAGACATGAGGAGAAACGCAACAATCCTTTCTCCAAGAGTGCTTGAACAATGGTGTTGCATTAACTAAGCATTTGTTTATTCAACTCTAGCACTGCTGGATTCTGACGCTCATTTTGTGAGTTCCTCTGACACATCGGTCAATTATAAATATTCAGAAATCAAAATCAATCATGCTTATGTATTTGACTTGCAAACAACTTCCAAATGAAGTTCGTAGAAATTATATCATGCATATTGCAGCCCTGATATGTAAGCTGAAATTAACATCAGAACTTTTTTCTCTAAATTTTCTGCCTATCAGAGAGCAAGACTATGTTACAAGCAGCAAAATTTTCACCTGGAAGCTGATAACCAGCTCAGTTCTGAGTTCTGACCCTTCACGGCAAGTTCCACACTCGTCCACAGGGAGTTTTAAAGGGACGAGACCAACAATGGCTGGAAATGAGGGTTACCATCCTTGGGTAGGTTCAGTAAGGTTTACCAGCTTGCAGGGCCAATAGGACTCCCTCCAACACTGACTCATCAGCTGGATATTTGTAACAGAGATAGAGAGTGAAAGGCTGCCTCAACCTGGAAGATCAGATTTCTTTAACAATTTAACACCACTATAACTGTCTGGCCATGATTGTGAAAGGACACTCCCCCCACAGGACAGTCAGAGGCTGCAGTGATGGACCAGCAGTTGGCATGGGGTCTACCATGAGATCCATTGCCTCTCCTAAACACTGCCCTACAATTCCCATCCCGAACACATGATCAATGTCACCCCCTGAATCGCCTCTTGAATGATTACAGGAGCCTCAATAAGTGCAAATCTCTACATCTTCCTGATTTTGGTCTGGGGTCCATATTCGTATCCAGTTCGTGGTCTTAGCCAGGGAACTGAGAGGACTGAGGGAGGTTGGGGAAATTCCCAGTAGGTGAGGAATGGGAGTGGAAGAGGAGATCACAGGAGTTCAGGGAAATCTTTATGTTCAGCAGAATTTCTTGGAGGAGGATAGTCACTATCAGTGAGGTCTATGAGGCGGTTTTCTTGTTGCATCTGGAAGAAAGAATACTGCTCCTCTTGGCCCACAAACAGTGCTGTAAAATGCATGCACTTTATGAAGTCTTATCACCCCTCAGTTGCTGGCTTTCACAAAGCTTGGGAGAGCCAGTCAAAATTAGTTAACAGTTAAAAAAGACACATATAAAGATGGAGACTACCTTAAAAGATTTCAATGACTGACCTCTTCCTGAGTGTGTTTGTGTTGCCTCATTTCATCTCTGCTTCCAATAAAACTAGAAATGAACAGTTTGGGGCTGCGTTTGAAACAGTTTTTTTTTCCATCTGCCTCAAATCCATTCATTTTCAAAGGTTAAAATAATGCCTGATGCAGTGATGGGTTAGATTCTGTAAACTAGAATCCCAAGGATTGGACTAACACTTTTTCCAAAACTTAGCAATACAGTTATAACTGTTACAGGGAATATTTCATTGGCTTCAGTATTGACTCAAAATGCCTAATTTGGATTGTTGGCCTGGCCCATTTACAAAGAACTTAAACACATTGCCAATATCACAGATTGAATACAGTGACAGATTAAATTTTTACTTATACAAGATAATTGTTTAAATCATAAAATTGAAACCCCTTAAATCTGAGACTTGGTGGGCTCTGAGAGGAATGCACCCAAACATCAACAGCTCCTGGAATCCACGGGGTGTTTCCACCGTATTGAATGGATGATTCTAATGTCAATTATAATATCTATATAGGAAGGTCATTGAAAGGACTTCTGTAACTCAGGCCCACTGCTGCAAATGGGAATTTGCTAAGAGAATTAGTGACTTCAATCATAAGATCAAAATGAACAGGAACAAGAGCAGGGCATTTGGTCCAAAGATCCTTAGTGTCATTCAATCAGACCGTGGCTGATTTGATCTTAACTCCACTTGGCCTTAACTCTTCTTTTTTGCCTGTCACCCATTATCCTTTGTCAATCAAAGCTTTGTCTTACTGAGCCTTGAATATATCCAATGACCTGGCTCCCACCTCTTACTCTGGGGAAGAGAATTGCAAACACTAGTGATCATCTGAAACATAAAAAAAAACCTCTCTTCTCCATCTCCAATGGGATTCCCTTATTTTAGAAACATGGCCCTGGATTTAGATGTTAGTCGTTGTTTAGAAAGCCTACGACACGCAAGAGAAAGCATTTTTTTCAACTCATTAAATCAGAGATAGAGAGAGAGGAGAAATAGTTGGAGAATCACCATAACTAAAGGTAGACAGACAGTGACTAGTAGGAATAGTTCAAAGTGAGTTAAAAGATCTGGAACTGGATCCAGGGAAATTGACATTGATGGGTATCAGCCAAGGCACATTTGGAAATTGTACCATGGCTGCACAACTCAATAATAATATACAGATGATATACAACACTTTCTGTGTTTGTAGAAAGTAGACCTCATCACGAGAGTGCTGAAAGCATGCAACTAAAAATCCTGAGAGGTTTCAGAGCTATGTGGATGCAATCAAAATAGCAAAGGTAAGACAGTGAAAGGATTGCTCGTAGATAATGCCAGATTTTGAATGAAGTTGTATATTGTAATGCAGAAGTAGCGGCTGATAAATATTACCTTTGTTTGTAATTCTGACTTGCCCCACGTACTTCTGTAGAGAGTGATAAGGATAGCCAGTCATCAGGTGGCAGAAACCAGCCTTACAGATGGATCATAGAAGAGAGGGAAGAGATTTGTTCTAGTTCTTTTGTTCAGATTGAAATCACATGTTGTGGCAATTTTTTTTCAAAAATGGAGTTGCTGATGTTTTCATCCCATATTTAAGCACCACAGGAAAGCAGCTTTAGTTCCAGAATTTCACTTCATATTGGTTTTGAAATTGTAATTATGGTTCTCTCCCCAGATGCTGCCAGACCTGCTGAGTTTCTCCAGCATCCACAGTATTTTACACTTGTTATACCAACTAAACATGTCTCTGTAATTTTAAATAGTTTATTTATTGACATTTAAATAAAGTGACTGGAAATCCTTCTTTGAAGTTGACAAGACATTTAAAATCACATTTTTTTTATAAAGCTGTTAAACTAAAGCATGACATTTAAAATTTATTTAAGACACTCCAGTAGTCCTGAGAATGAAAGTAATTCTAATATCAGCGAGAGAAAGATGGCCTGACAATTCGTCTCAATCACAACTCTTTCAAAACTCTTTCAGCGCGCGTCATTTGCCTATGTGCCAAATATCAGTTTTTCCAACTGGTAACAACCTACCTGTGCTGGAAATTTCTCAAAATGTTCAAAATGTTGGATGTTCAAAATGCTTACAATCAATGTGTCACTTTGTCAGTGTTTTACAAGAACAGGAGCTGCTTTGTTCAGTGTCAATGGAGCTTCATTTGTAAGGTGGAATTCAGTCAATCCAATGAGCAACTTAACCAATTAGATATAACTTTTATCCCATTGTGTGTTACACCCAAAATTGAGACAGGAAAATCAGGTAAAGCTTCCAGCTTCTTAAAATCCCAACTATAGAAGTGGCTGCCATTAACATTATGGTTACAGGGGTCTTTGATACAATAGGAAGCATCTCTGCTTCTGAACCAGGAGGTCCAGGCTCATGTCCCACCTCAGGACTTCACAGCCACAGGAGGTACGTTAATAACATGGCCAAACAAGTTCAGTAACAACCTACAAATCCTTCCAAACAATTGCAACTGGCAACAGCCACCGAGATCCCTGGTTAGCCATGTGATGAAAGGAAATTGGAGCCTCTACTATTACTATCCACTGCTCTAGTATACAACATGGATGTAAAAGTGTATGCTGCAACAGTAACTCAAGCTCCATGGGGAGCTAGTTGATTGAAGTGAATCAGATTGGTGTCAACAGTATGGGTTTTAATCCCATTTTTATCTGGGGTGAATTTGGGACCTGTCTCCTTGTCCTAACCACAATGCTAATCACCCTGCTAATTGGATTTAACTTTGGGCAGAGAACTCAAGAAGTAGATTTTGACTACCCTTCAAAAGTAAAGAGTAAAGCAAATTGGGGAGGCCAGAAGTCAAGAGAGGTGCTATACAAACGCAAATTATTTTCCTGTTTTCTTTAAAATACATCATAGAAGCAAATAAGCATATACAATTACCCTAGGATTAAAGATGTCAGTTCTGGACTAGACCAGGGGATTAAACTTCTTAGGTTCCCTGTGACACCACCAGAGAAAACAGAAATTAAAACACCTTGCAATGACCCCATTCACCTCTTTACCACGCTAGGATTGGGATTTCACCAATTGAAGATGCTTATCCCTTGGGACAGTCCTAGAAAACCCATTACAATGCACAGAACTAACTCTGTCTTCTTTTCCTTTATCTTTGTATACTGGAGAAAAAGTTGGGAAAATTGATTGCCAGGTTTGAGAAAATCAACTGTTCTGAGGAGAGGAACCGTCACTAGAGAATAATTTTGATATCAGGAACAATCACATATAATCACCACTGTCGTTAACAGCACTTCTGCAGAACTTAAGTGATAGAATCTAAGGGCATGACAGGCCACGTCACACTGCACACTCCCTTCACATCTATATTCAAAGCTGTTTTTGAGCTGTCAGCTATTCTGAATCTGTGGTATTTGTTTTGAAACTGATATTCAGTTTTTGTTAGCCTTCGATGTTGGCACTGATCTGCATTCCTTAACATAATTCTGTACTTTCAAGTCAGGGATCACAGCTGTTCATGGTTTGTCATTCTATTCCCAGGTTTTTTTTAATCTTC